TATACTGTCTTTTATAAAATAGTTAGTGTTAACTTTCATCTCTACATACTATAAAAACAAAGTCGTAAGCTACTTTGTTTTTCGCTTAGGTCTTTTAAACTATCCAACTTATTTTGGTGCGGTTTTTTTAATAAATAGATAGAATGATTCAAGAGGAAGGATTATATGTATGATGTATGCATATTATATATTATATAATTCTTCTGCCGTGTGTATGTGACTGAACTCCTCCTAAACTACTGGAACGATTTTAATAAAACTTTGTGTGTGTGATTAAGTTGATTAGAGAATGGTTTAGATTCACATTTGGACCCGGTACTGTCTTTTTTATATTTTGTGCAAGTTTTTATATTCATAATTAATACTTAACGTAAGTTCATACGTGGTAGAGCCACGCTGCAGCTATATTATGGTTGTAGCACGAATGGATCGGCTCGACCTGGGTAGGACCATGCTCTGACAGAATACCAGCGTAAAACAGTAACTTGATGCTGTTGTGTTTCGTATGGTGAGTGTAGAGAACCGGATACCCTTTTTACTGGAAACGAGGCATGCTATGTCAGTCCTCAGGGGTGACAACGCATCTGAATTTTGATTATAAAATGTAGATGTTTATGGGCCACAGCATCTACTTACCATCAAGTGGACTGTGTGCTCGTTTATCACAGTTATTCTATAAAAATAAAGTCCGTAGATATGTTATGTCTACTCAAAGTACATATTACTTTCTTTTTTCTTTTACGTTTCTTAGTGAGTGTATACTCTCTTCGGGGAAATAAATTTCTTAAAACACAATTAAATGTGTAATATATCTAAACAAAACAAATACCTAACAAAAGATGAAACGATTCAAAGTATCACGTCACGCAAGAAGACGAACACTGTGATGACAATTGTAAAAAGAAATATTGAACGATTAATCATATTCGAGCGTTCATCTGCGGACGTTTGCGACGTTCATCATTCATCCGCAGCATCACGCCTATTTTTCTGCAAATCGTTAACAATTTAACGAAACAGATGTATGTCATCCATAAATATTTATATATATCACAGAGTTGCGTGTAAAACGTAAAACGAATCATAAGAAATTCTTAAAAGCTTTTTTTTACAATCTGCTCTGACTCCATAAAAAGAGAACAAGATTATATTGTTAAAATACAGTAGTTAGTTAATGTTTATTTTCTTATAGTACCTATGAGAGTGACAAACGAAGACGCAGTCCACCTGATGGTAAGTGGATACTGTTGCCCATAGACGCCTAAATTTATCTTCGATTAAGAATCAAAATGCAGATGCGTTGTCAATCCTGAGGATTAAGATGGAATGCTTTGTTTCCTAAAAAAAAAAAGATCTCCGGTTCTCTACACTCATCATACGAACCACAGCGGCTTAAGCTGCTATTTTACGCTGGTATTCTGCGAGAGCTTGGTTATAGCTTGGTCGAGCCGACACATTTCTGCTACTACCATAGTATAGCTGCAGCGTGAATCTTCCACGTATTAAAGGAGTATGTGAGGAGGAAGCAAAAGGATCTTGTTACTCTGCGATATCATTATCGTCATCATCATTACACCCCTTCACAAGTTCACTGCAGAAATGTGCCACCCAAGGAGCGCTACAAAACATGGTCTTGAATCACCTGCGTCCATTGACTTCCTGAATGACTTAACCAGTCCGTTACTCGATGTAGTAGGGACCGTCTTTTGAAACATACCAATATAATATATGCGCGAAGCCGTTTTTTTTGGTTTTTTGTGTATATTAATAGCGAAATAAAGTAACTTAAACATTTAGTTAATTAACATAATATACAATATTTTATATTTTATTATATACAATATTAAAATCGTAAAAGCGGTATTGTGCCAAGTACGCCGTGCGTTTCCCCGCTGAATTGCTACACTTAGCCTTTGAGCGAGAAGAGAGCCAGCTCTTCTATCAGCCTCCAACAGCAACGACCAGTTGCGGATGGAGTTCCTTTAGGAACTTCACCACACGTGGACCCCACGGACCGATAGTCTTTATAGCAAATGGCACAAATATCTAGTCATCTCTCAGAGACTTATCAAATAAAACTATGGTTATATAACCTTTAACATTTAATTTACCTTTTCCCTAATTCGGGATATTTATGGGTAAAATTTGTGTTTATTAAAGTTTTAATTAACTAAAAATAGATTGTAGATCTCATTTTCTATCGACTTCAAAAAGGAGACGATACTCAATTCGACTGTATATTTTTTTATGTGTATTACATCATAACTTTTTACTGACTGAACCGATTTCGACGATTATTATATTATCTGAAAGCTGGTGCTTCACATGTAGTCTCGTATAAATTTGATCAAGGTCTGACCAATAGTTTTTGAGTTATTCTTAATAATTTATATTGAAGTCGGTTGTACAAAATTTTTATTTTTAAATTATCTGTTAAAGAGTCCATCTGAACAGGTATCACCCTCTTACCTGTTTCTGACACCAAGCAGCATTACGTACATTATATGCTCTGGTCTAAAGGGTATAGAAAGCCAGCATAATTCCAGGCTGTGAGGCATTCCATCTTAGACCTTAGAGGTGACAACGCATCCGTAGCCTTCTTTGTTTGAAGTTGGTCGTAGCAGCATTATACATGGTAGAGCCATGCTGCAGCTATATTAGTAGTATAGTTGTAGCACGAATGGGTCGGCTCGACCGGGGAAGGACCACGCTCTCACAGAATACCAGCCTAAAATAGCAGCTTGATGCTGTTGTGTTTCGTATGGTGGGTGTAGAGAACCGGAGACCCTTTATACAGAAAAAGAGGCATTCCATCTTAGTCCTCTCGGGTGACAACGCATCTGCATTTTGATTCTTTAGTGAGGATAGTTGTAGATGTCTATGGGTCACAGCAACCACTTACCATCAGGTGGACTGTGTGCTTGTTTGTCACCCTATACTATAATAATTTAAAATTAAAAATTTTGTACAACCGACTTCAATATAAATTATTAAGAATAACTCAAAAATTATTGGTTAGACCTTAATCAAATTTATATGGGACCACATGTGAAGTCAATTCAAAAAATCGTCGAAATCGGTTCACCCAGTAAAAAGTTATGAGGTAACACACATAAAAAACATACAGTCGAATTGAGTACCGGCTCCTTTTTCAAGTCGGTAGAAATAGCAGGCCATGGGTTTTAGTAGCCACTTACCTTTAGATGGACTGCAAGTTTGTTTGCCATTTAAATGTTATTAAAAAAAAACTTTAATACAGGTGATATACTAGAAACATTTAAAAAATTGACCTAATTTTACTGTACGAAAATTGATTAATTTTGTAGAAAAATGCAAACTACGGTATTAGGTTCACTGTAAACCGAAGTAAATTTTATTCATAATACTTTGAATATTAAGTATTATAATATTATCTATGTATTAAGTACCTACATTCGTACGTATCATTTATTAAGGGTGCGACGAGGGTAAACCGAAAAAAATCACGATTAGTAGTTAATCTGAAGCAAAAACAAAAAACATTTTTTTATTGCATGCAGTGGCACAGGAACTCCCGCGTTCTGCCACGCCTCCCACCATCAATAAAATGTGTTGGCAGGAACACAATGCGCGGATATGGTTTATTCCAAAAATTGTTAGGATTTCGCCCAAAAATTAATAAAAATGAGAAATCGCAGAAAAAAATTAATGCGTTTGGCCCTTTTTGACGATAATTCTATCGATTGTGAGTTGCATTTTCTTTTTTTTTATCGACATTGATTTATAAATTGTTTATTACCCTATGTTATACGTAAAGAATTACAGTATGACTTAGTGGAAAGAGTAACTGATTACCGAGTCGTAGATTCTGGGTTAGAATTCCAGCTGGAACGATTTATTTAATAAAGATACAAACGAGCACTTAGTTTGCGTGATGATAAGTGGATATGGCGGCCTACATTTATTTTAGGTGTTGAATCATAAAATACAGATGCATTGTCACCACCGGGACTAAGGGCCTTGTTATCAGTAAAAAGGGTCACCGGTTCCGATTCGCGTACCAGACATTGCATTAAGCTGCTATTTTGTGCAAGCTTGGTCCTTCCCCGATTGAGCCAACCAATTCGTGCTACACTCACACTATATAATATAGTTTTTATACGTGGTAGAGACATGCTTCAGCTATATTATGGTTGTAGCACGAATGGGTCGGCTCGACCGGGGAAGGACCACGCACTCACAGAATACCAACGTAAAATAGCAGCCTAACGCTGCTGTGTTTCGTATGGTGAGTGTAGAGAACCGGAGGCCCTTTTTACTGCAAAGGAGGCACTCCATCTTAGTCCTCACGGGTGACAACGCATCTGCATTTTGATTCTTAATCAAAGATAGATGTAGATGTCTATGGGCCACAGCACCACTTACCATCAGGTGTACTGTGTGCTCATCTGTCACCCTTATCCTATAAAAAAAGCTGCAGCATGGCACTATCACGTTAAATGTATTTTTATGTAATAATAATAATTACTCTATTATTTACGCGAATATTATACTTTGAATAAAAACTAATTTCACTGATTTTATCATTTCTTTTTAACGTTCTTTACTTCGACATTCGAGTACTTTGTAGCACCCATAATCACATAGGAGCTCTATTATGGACAGCTCCCATAAACGCGATAATTTAATTCTATAAAACGTTACCCTATTACTCTAGGATTTCTCCTGTATCTTGAAGGGGATTTACATACAAAAATTGTACAAGGACATCCAGTACAACAATTATTTGTAGCAAATACAAATTTTTGTTTCGTGCGGGATTCGAACACGCGGCCCTGAGCGCCGCAACCAAATGCTAAGCCACTGTGCCACCTAGCCGTCAATAATAAGATATTATATTGTATTGACATAATAAAAATTTCGAGTATTTACTCTCGAGATGAGAATCATCTTTACATCAAAATGATGAATTTTATAAATGAATGGCAATTTTTTTCTTATAATTTTCTCTTTATTCACAGGTCAAAATATGGTTTCAAAACCGCCGCATGAAATGGCGTAACTCAAAAGAGCGGGAACTGCTCGCATCTGGTGGCTCGAGAGAGCAGACGTTGCCCAATAAGAACAATCCGCATCCCGATTTATCCGACGCGGAGGCGGACAAATCAAAAATGTCCCCGTTATCGCCTCTAAACGACGACCAAAATGAAGACAAAAGCAAAATGTTCGCCGCCTCATCCAGTCAGAGCGACAGTTACCGGTACGATGATAAAATAGGCGGCAGCTCGATGTATTCCCGCGAAAATTATTCAAACATGGAGGACGGCGAAGAATTTGACAGCGATGCGAGCGCTTCTGACGAAGAAATCAACGTGACATGACGTGTTTTCGTTGCCAAGATAAAAAACTGTATATTATTTTTAATATAAGTCTCAAATAATTATAACTTATTGTAACATGTATATTTAGCCCCTCAGTTTGTATCACACTGACCCAGACTTAATAATAGGTTAAAGAAGTCATTGCACTAACCAAAGATATAACCTAATATAGCAGAAGCACTAAATGTATTTATTATATTGTCCTTAACTTTCCTCTTCGTATTTGGAATCAGAAAAAATAAATTAATAATAATAATGCGTAGGTTACGTTATTCAACTTTTTTTCAAGATGTTGCTACGTATCAAGCGCGTTCTTAATTATACAATTTTATCGTGAAAACATGTTTACTACACAAATAGACGGTTTTAAATCTAAAGATAACCCATTAAGTTATTTACAAAATATCATGTACTATTTAAAAAAAAAACTATTGTCATCTTTTTTAATATATGTTTAGTATTTTGTTTAATTTAAAACAAACTTTAATGTAATAATTTATAATTTAATTAACATAATTTCCGACATATAATTCTTCGTACATCCGTCCCGCTTAATCCGATTAATTTGTTACAATAAATAATTATTTATAAAGTGATTTAATGTAAATTTTGTGTAAATAATATTTAACGTAAGTTCGTATATTTATTTTTAAAATTAACTACACAGATAAGAAAATTCCGATCATTATTTGGGTATAAATCACTCTCCTTAATAATAATTTTTTTCGAAATCATTTCTGACAAAATACAAATATGTAAGGCGTTAATAAAAAAATACAAGAATCAACAACCAAATTACCCAGCAGTATTATACAATTGCACGACTAGTCCTTTGTGGTGATAATGAAGCTGCTGTCTGATATCTTAAATGTTAATCTTCTACCAAAGATTTAATATAACCTAGATAAAATAGGAATTCGGTCTGGAAGATATTATTTATATATAAATAAACACAAATAAAAGACCATCAACAAAAATCAACAACCCTTATCACCTTAAACACGTTGAAATCTTCGATTCGATAAAGAATGCAAGCTGTTAGGGGGAATATAATATGCTCCAAAAATTGATTTCTTAAATTATGTTTACGTACTAAGAGAGAAGCAAGCGATATTATGTTATAAACGTAGTTCTTAGAGTATTTTCCGGAAGCGAACTGACGTTTTTGTTATCTTTTATGAAGCGCTCAAAAAATATCGAGTAGTAGATTTTGAATAAAACAGAATATATTAACGGATTAATGTATGCTTTAACTGTTTTGTTTTTGTGGCCCAAGTATTATAGAATTATTTTTAAATTAAAAGGCTAGTACACATTTCTACCACTACAGTTATCTTATAGCGAATAGAATCTACCTGATAGAATAAACCTATACAATAAACCTATCGGCATGAGGTTTTGAGTTCTAATAAAAACTTATAAACATATATGCTGCTAGTAATATTTTAAAAGAGGTTTAGGGGGTTTTGACCACTATTGCAGATCGCTGCTCCCGTATTATCGTATAAAAACTGGTTTGAAGTGGATTTTTATACGTAAAAGTGATACAATTTTGTACATACAGACATTTAGTCTGCCTCTGTGAACCAATAGTGGAAGCGACGAAGCAAGTGCTCTGATTTTGTTATGATTTTGATATGTATATCATTTTAATTTGTCCTCTTTGACGCCTCGAGTTATTACCGTTATCCACTATCTGCTGCGTTAAGCAGTCCTCAAAATCTCCCAAAAACTTCACAATGTAAAAACATTAATATAATATATATTACTAAATGTTTTGTATGCAAATTATTTTGTTATGGTAATAGCATTATTTCACTTGGAACTTTTTTGTTGTTTATGTAGGCAACATTATCACTCTCTTTTGCACTGTGCCGTAGCATAGGGTTCATTTATAATGACGTTTAGATTTTAAAATTTCGTAGCTGCATTTAATTTACACAGTTTAAAGGGTCATTTCCATTCACTTGACATAGACAAAAGTCATATCTATGACCAGTTATGTACGCTGTCAAATTATGCCGAAATGATCATTCATATTTTCACAACTATATTAATTAAAGGCTTTTTAACTTTTTAAAACTATATTTAAATTATCTGGCAATTATACTATTCCTTAGTGTTGCCATATATAAAATGTAAATTTTTGATAGAAATTAAAAATAAGGAGATATTTGTAACAAAATTGTAAATCTAAGAATAATGTTTGATTGTAAATAATTTTATTGTACATATAATGTCGTATTGTAATAATTTAAGCTTGATCAAGACTCCATTAATTCGTAAACATTAATGTCTCATAAGTTTTATGTGGAAATAAACGGGAAATATAAAGTGCATTTTTGATTTTTAAAATTAGTACCTGAGCGAAAAAGCTTTGCTCGACGCTAGAAATGAAAATCCGGGATGACGCCTATCTAGATATTATTATAAAATAAGGGTGACAATCAAGCACACAGTCCACCTGATGGTAAGTGGATGCTGTGGCTCGTATACATCTACATTTACTCTCATTTAAGAATGCAGATATCTTGACGTCCCTGAAGACTGAGATGGAACACCTCGTTTCCAGTAAAAAGGGTCTCCAGTTCTCTACACTCACCATATGAAACATAGCAGCGTTAAGCTGCCATTTTACAAATTTTCTAAAAGTTTTTTTAAAAATAAAATTAAGTGAAAAGAACTTAGACTTACTTAGTTCATCTGATGGTAAGTGACTACTGCAGCCCATGGACATCTTTTTTTTATAAAATAAGAGTTACGAACCAGTACACAGTAGAGGGATAAATAACTTTTTAAAAACAAAAAAACGTGTGAGTGTCGTGGAACACTCGGCTTGTACGAAGTTCCTTGCGTAGTATATTATCTATACAAATAAATAAAATTGGAGTGTCTGTTTGTAACGTCAAATGACTGCTTTTCACTAAATGCATATGAAAGTATATATGGTACTTATAACAAAAACACAATTTTTGAAATTTCTGTCTGTCTGTCTGTTTATTCCGGCTAATCTCCGAAACAGCCGGATCGATTTTGATGAGACTTTCACTGGCAGATAGCTGATGTTATAAGGAGTAGCTTAGGCTACTTTTGTTTTAGAAAAATAATTAGGGTTCCGCGCAAAAAATTAAAATCCTAAATTACACGCGGGCGAAGTCGCGGGGAACAGCTAGTTATTGATAAACGTATTGTATTATTGATTGACAAATACAAATAAATGAATTACTAGCGTTTATTAAAATGTAGCATCATTTAAAATAATATTTCTTTCACGGCAAGATAAGAAAAGTGCGAGGGAGATAGATATTATTCCATCTCCACTATAGAAATGGGTACGTGTCGGAATCAATCTTACACTTTTTCTCGCCTAGCCACCGTCCGTCAAATTCGTACTGTGCGATAAAGAACTTCGTTCCAAAAATATTATTAACTAAACGACATTAAAATATGAGCTACAACTCTGATTGTCCGAGTTTTCCAAGTTCACGTAAGCTACGTCGGAAAATGCTGAATTGCGGCACAAAGCTGTAGCGTTGTTCTTTATTTATATAAGTAGAATAAGGGTGACAAACGAGCACACAGTCCACCTAATAGCACAGAATAAACTTATAGTAAGTGAGTACTGTGGGCCATATGCATCTACATTTATCCTCGATTAATAATCTGAATACAGATTATTAGTTGAGAGACTAAAGGAAACGAGGCACGTTTCGATTAAAAGGTGTAGAGAACCGGAGATCCGGTTCTCTACACTCGCCATACGAAACATGGCAATATGAAGCTGCTATTTTACGCTAGTATTCTATGTGAGTTTGGTCCTCCCGGTCAAGGCGACCTTTACGTGATACACCCTTAGTATAGCTAAAGCATGGCTCTACCATATACAACAATCATCCAGCTTACCAAAAAAAAAAAAAACAAAAAAACGACATTTACGTCATTACCTTTGAGGACTAAGATGGAATGCCTGTAATCATATTCTTCTCTATATACCATGCAGACCGAAACACAGCTGTATACTGCTATTTGGCTGCACCAATACGTAACAGGGTCGTACCTACCTAGATGAACTCCTGGTAGAATAGAAGTCCCACCAGTTAGTAGTAGTATTGTAGTCGTAAGGCTCGCAGTAACAACTGTAGCGCTGCAACAGCGAACTACTTTTTTACGCTTTCTGTTTTGAATGTTACAATACCGTTACCGTTACAGCCTATTGAAGTCCACCGCTGAACATTGTCCTCCCCATAGATTGCCCCTTAGGGAGGATATTTGCCATAGTTGCCACACTTGGCGGATTGGAAACCACAGGTTTTTATTTTTAGTCGTTATTAGGAAGACGCTGCTGTCCATCTCCTGACTTGTTTCCCCCTGTCGCCTTTTATGACACCGACAGGATGATATGGGGTAGTGAATGTTCTAATTATTACACTACACGGTTAAAGTTCAATAAATCTTTATATATAAAAATTACGTGTCACGTTGTTTGTCCGCGATGAACTCCTAAACTACTGTACTGATTTCAATGAAAATTTGCACACTGTGTGCAATTTAGTCCAACTTGAGAGACAGGATAGTTTTTATCCCGATAAGTGGCCCTCAATTTTTTTATTGCTAATTTCTGGAGTTATTTTTGGGAAAGCAAATGGTCGTTCGGAAAGGGCAGAACAACGTTTGCCTGGTCAGTTAGTAACTAAACAAAACTCCGTTACGATAATGAAAAGTTCACGATTTATAGACTACTAAGAACGTGAAAAACAAAGAGGATATCTGGTGAATACAAGAAGACCTCTAAAATAATAATTAAACGGTAAGAAAATTACTTAAGTTTAATGAACAAATTAAGCATCACCTTGCGCTAGCAGCGTAGATGCAGAGTATGTTTACCTGGTAGAGCCACGCTGCAGCTATATTATGGTTGTAGCACGAATGGGTCATCCGGTTGAGCAGACCCTTCTAAGTTTTGTATCAATAGATTTGATTATATAATTTCTTTTGTTCGT